ACTTGAGGGCTTCCCCTGAGACTCCCACTCCTCCTCCTCTTCCTTGACCCCGACTCTCCAACACTCACCAGCTCCCAGGCTGCAGCCGGAGCCCTGCATACGGCCATGGGGGCTTGGCCTTGCACAGGGCAACCTGTGGAGGGCTGCCGACTGGCCCCGATGACCGTGAAGTGGGGCTGCAGCTGGGAGGGGCAGGGGTAGCATCTTCACTGTGGCTTGACTGTGCTCAGCAGGCAGCCAGGGCAGTCACTGAGGTGGGGGTCTGGCACAGGGGCTCCAGGTACCTTCCTGATCCCACGGGCAACATGGTAGACCAGTTGTCCATCTAGTTCCCTCAGTGCTGACTGTAACTCTGATGCCTGCTTCCGTGAGGCTGGGGAGAGGCCTCAGAAGGGGAGTTTCTGACAAGTTCCCCAGTGATGCCAGCAGAGTGCCAAGTGGAGGCCAACACTGAGACATTCAGCATTGAGTAGCCGGGGCTCCAGTCCCAAGTCTGCCCCCTGCTGGCAAGAGGCCTCTTAGGCCAAAGAAATGGCTGCTTCTGTCTAAATTTCATCTCTAATGGAGAGGTAAGAACCATGCTCACCTCCAGGGTAGTTGTAAGGATTAAGTGAGATGATTTGGCACATAATAGTATCGGAAAGAAGTTCTTTATCAATTGGTTGAGGTGTGGTACTTTGGGTGGAAGGAAGCTGCTGAATTTTTTTAATAAATTCTATAGAATTATCTGACTTTTAAAAGCACTATTTGAGGGCTGGGGATGTGGCTCAAGTGGTAGCGCGCTCGCCTGGCGTGCGTGCAGCCCGGGTTCGATCCTCAGCACCACATACAAACAAAGATGTTGTGTCTGCCTAAAAACTAAAATAAATAAATAAATAAATAAAAAAAAAAAAAAAAAAAAAAAAAAAAGCACTATTTGAGGGCTGGGGTAATGACTCAGTGGTGGAGCACTCACCTAGCATGTGCAAGGTGCTGGATCCGATCCTCAGCACACATAAAAATGAATAAATAAAATAAAAGTATTGTGTCCAACTACAACTAAAAAATATTTTTAAAACTTTACTTGTACAACAGCAATAATAATTAAAATTTAATTAAAAATTATAGAAGACTTAATTCCATTAAAAAGAAGAAATCACCAGGTATGTTGTCACATGCCTATAATCCCAGCAGCTCGGGAGGCTGAGGCAGGAGGATCACAAGTTGCTAGCCTGAGTACCTTAGTGAGGCCCTAAACAACTTAGTGAGACCTGTCTCCAAAAAAAAAAAAAAAAAAAAAAAGCTGAGGATGTGGCTCAGTGCTCAGTTCTTAAGCACCCCTGGCTTCACTCCCCAGTACCAAAAAAAAAGGGAGGGGGGGAGAAATCAACAGCTCTGATAGTTTAAATATGGAAATGTCTATGAAGATTGCTGTTGTTCCCAACTATCCTCTCCCCTTTCCTGAACAGGATGCTACAACTTCTCTCTCTTCTGGGGAAAGAGTATTCATCCAGTGCCAATGACTTTGGGCTTGATCTTGACTGCCTTTTCGGACAGCACCTGTGTGGACCTGCCCCTGAGGCATGTTGGGGCAGGAGCTAAGAAGCAGTGCTTACTTTTTCCACCATCACACTTGTCCTTGTCCCCCCCACCTCACTCCGCAACAGGCCTGTCCTCCAGATGGCGCTCTTCTTTGGCTTTGGAATTACAGCCACAGCTGACCCACAACCCAGAGAAGCCAAGCCACAGCCAATCTACAAAAGAAATGTAAAGACAAGTGACAAACAAGCCTCTATTTATTGTTGTGAGCCACTGACGTGCTGGGATAGCTTGTTACTGCAGCTTTACCTGGTGAAAACTGAGTAAAAACTTCCTACAACAGACCACAGATGTGAAAGTATAGTGTGTCAAATGCAATGACTGCTTAACGGGTGTAGGAGTGATGGAAAGTTCTGGAACTAAATAGTGTAGATGGTCATGTGACGTTGTGGGTGTAGTTAATACCACCTAAAGTGAATTGTTCACTTTAAATTGGTCAAAATTCTTAAGATGTGTGCTATATTGATCACCACCCTCCTGCCCCCCATCTGAACTGCAAGGCAAGCCAGCTCTCGATTAGTTATGTGGGATTTGGATGACCTTCAGTGTTGACCTCCAATATGATGTTGAGAGGAGTTCAAGATAAAACTGTCCCTGAAGAGGCAGAGGTTGCTAATGGTCCATGTTCTCCTGCCATTGGACACTTTGTGGGGTGACACCAAATGGGCAGCTTTGGGAGTAGAGAGGGAAGGAGGCAGAGGACAAACTTCTGCTCACGTTGTGCTTGGGGCTGGAGCTCAAACTCAACCCTGAGAGGATCAGCCCTCAGCTGAGTTAACACTGCACCTGCTGGAGCGGGGGGCTCACATCTGAAATCCTAGCCCCTCAGGAGGTTGAGGCAGAAGGGTTCCAAGTTCGAGGCCAGCCTGGGCAACTTAGTAAGATCCTGTCAAAAAAAAAAAAAAAAAAAAAAGGTGGGGGGAGTGGTGCTGGGATGCAGCTCAGTGGTAAAGCAGTGTCCTGGAATGCTCCAAGGCCTGGTTCAATCCCAGCACTGCCAAATAAACAACCCCCCCACCTCCTGCACTCTCCTGAAATGCCACAGAACAGCACTGGGGGGCAGAAGAGAGCCGGGTCAGCCTGGGGAGGCACCAAGTGTGCTCTTTCCCTTTTCTCCCTTTCCCCTTCCCCTCCCAACCCTCCCACCAAGGCAGTCCCTTCCATTGGTTTCAGAAGATGTTACCATTTTTTCCAAAGGAAATGTCTTTGCAAGTAAAACCTGAGTATTTCATCGGCTGCATCCAGAGAGCTGTTCGAGGAAGTCCATTTTTAGATGTTGAACACATTCCACACCACGTTTCAGTTGATGGCTAATTTCAGGGCTGACTGAACCAAGCCCACTCCTGACTTTTGGGGGGTATCAACTTGAAACTCTTCCCCTGATATTCAGCAGGTGGGTGTCTCTAAGACGCTAGAAAACTTTAACAGCCAGACTGGTGACAAAGACAGTTTCTCCATAAGACTGAAAAGATTGATTTGGCACTGATGGGAGCAGCCTGAGCTGGTTCCAAAGCACTGATAGCCACAGGTCTCTTCCAAGACGCTTGGCATCTGTCCACCCCTACTGAGTGCAAAACCACCTCAAGACCCAGTCACTTAAAGCAGCTGCAAGGTGAGTATCCCTTGTCCAAAATGCTTGGGACCCAGAAGTGTTTTGGATTTCAGCTTTTTTGGGTTTTGGAATATCTGCAAGCCTAAACACAAGATTCATTCATGTTTCATGTACACTTTATACGCTTAGCCTAGAGTTAATTTTATACATGATTTTTAGTGAGTCTGTTTTTGACTGTGACCCATCACATGAAGCCAACTATTGAATTTTCTATTTATGGCATCATGTTAGCACCCAAAAAGTTTGAGATTTTGGAGCATTTGGATTTGAGGGTGGCAATGCCCCACTTGTATTTTTTGTTATTGTTTTCATGCGAGGGATTGAGCCCAGGCCTTTGCACTCTGTCCCTGAGCCCTGGTCCCAGGCATATTACTGTTGTCATCTTTGGGTTGGGCTCAGCCAGGTGATTCTCCTGCTGGTCTCACCCGGTTCCCAGTGCGGCTGCAGTGAGCTGACCTGGAGCTCCCTGGTCCAAGTCCCAGAAACCTCACTCACCTGCCTGTGTTGGGTGGGGTGAGGGATAAACGGGGCATCTGAGCGCCAAGCATCTGGCAGCTGAACTCCAAAAGCAGCAAGAGAGGCCAAGCCCCAGGGGACAGCACTTTTCACACCTCTGTTTGTTTCCTGCTGTCTCCTTGGCCCGCAAGGCAAATAATCAGTGATGCTTCGGGGAGTGGAGAGAGTAGACTCCATAATATTGTAGAGTTTAGAAAATTATCCCCCAGGCCCTCCCTCCTCTCCTGCTATGGCCAAGGACATTTTTATTCACTCGGAGATGAGTAAACTGACACCTGCCAATTCACAGTTGTGTTAGTCAGCTTTTCTTCACAGTGACCAAAGAACAACTTGGAAATAGAAAAGTTCATTTGGGGCACAGGGTTTCAGAGGTCTTAGGTGGCCGACTCCATTGCTCTGGGCCCATGGTGAACAGAAGAACATCATGGCGGAAGGGCATGGCAGAGGAGCACTGCTCGGTTCCTGGCCACCAGAAAGCAGAGGTGGGAGGGGCCACAGGGACGATGCACTCTTCCAGGGCAGAACCCCAGACCCACCTCCTTCAGATACACCCCATCTGCCTACAGTCACCACCTAGTTCAAACTAGGATGGATTGATTAGGACACAGGTCTCATAATCTAATCATGTCACCTCTGACTATTCTTGCGTTAACACAAGTTCAAGGCAATTAAATGAATCTCTCCCAGATGCATAAGGTACTATGGATGGAATTGTGCCCCCCAAATTCATATAATTCATGTTAAAGCCCTAACCCCAGTGTGATTCTATTTAGAGACAGGGCCTTTAAGAAGGTTACTAAGGTTAAATAAGGTCAATCCAATAAGACTGGTGTCCTTGTAAGAGCCATCAGGGTGCACACAGAGAAAAGGCCACGTGAGGACGCGGGGAAGAAGGCTACCTATGAACCAGGATGGGAGCCCCCCCCCAGAGCTCAGCCCTGACGGCACTTTGGTCCTGACCTTCCAGCCTCCAGGACTGGAGGGAAACACGCTCCCTGTCCGTGGTATCCTGTTACGGCAGCCTGAGCTGAACAACAGGTAAACAGGTTTCCTTGGTTAAATCACTGTGGGAAATGTCGTGCTCAACACTGACCTTCTCCCCTTGGAGGTTCGGAAAATTCTTTAGCTCATTCAAGCCTCTGAGAAGTTCTTCAGCAAAGGAACCTATTGTTGGCCACATGTCCTGGGTTATTTGAACACACATTCAGTTCCTGGGGCTCCTTAACAAACTGCTGCAACCTCCAGGGCCTCACAGTTCTGGTGACCTGAGGTCCAAACCCCAGGAGTCGGCAGGATGGTTCCTTGTGCAGGCTCTGAGAACCTTCCAAACCTCCCTCCAGCTCTGGTGGCCCCTGGTAACCCTTGGCATTCCTTGGCCTGTGGAGGTACGGCTCCCATCTCCGCCTGCGTCTCCACAGTCTGTACCCTGAGTCTCCTTCTCAATGGTAAAACACCAGTACCCCAAAGAGAAGAAACCATGACTAGATTGGGGACCCTGCCCTTCCTGTAATGCCCTAGGAGAGGGTCTATTTTGGGGGGGACACTTGCATAAGGCAGTGCTCATTACTGCAGCAACACAGGAGGGCTTTTACAGGACGGTGCTTCTGAACCTCCAGAAAGCCTCCCAGAGCTCTGCTTCCTCCATGCCTCCCCAGTCCCGTGGCCTCCAGGAGGAGAGACGTCTTGCTCCTCCCTCCAGAGGCCATCTTCAGTGTCCCCAGCTGCCCACAGGGCCCACTGCCCACTGTCCTGGTGCTGCTCTGCCTGCCCTGCCCACCCTCCCTCCTCCTTGTCCACAGCCCTGTTTGCCTCTAAACCACCCATCAGGTGGCTTCTGGGGTCTGCAGGTTCCTGAAATGCGTACGACCAGGGACGGTTCTGTCCTGGAGGTGGGCTGTGGGCAGGCGTTTTCCCAGAGCAGGGCCCGCAGCTTCCATTGTTTCTCCAAATCCATCCCACGGAGGCTGCGACCCTCAGGGTTAGGGCTCAGGTTCAGTGAGGACCTCTCCCTAGAGCAGTCTCCTGGGGAAAGAAGCAGGAAGGTGGGAAAGCCCCCCCCCCCCGCCCCAGTTTCCCTGGTGGAAGGCAAAGCGGGAGGAGGCAGCAGGACCATCCGCAGGGACAACCTCAGGAGGCCCAGGACAGCTGGCTGAGGCTGCAGGCTCCCCCTGAGAGAGAGAGGACAGCAGGCCCTTGGGTTTGGGAGAGAGCTGGGGAGCCTGAGGGCAAAGTCTAGCACCCCCCCCCACCCCCGTAGGTCTTGCCAACATCCCGGATTCCGGGAAGCTGGGCACTGCTGGACTGAGCCTTCAGCTCACTGGGCGGTGTGGACAACAAGGTGGGACTTGTTCTCAATCTGAATGGTACAGGGCTGGGATGTAGCTCGTTGGTAGGCCACGCCTGGCCTGTGTGAGACCCTGTGTTCAACTCCCAGTGCTGGGGGGCAGGGGGTAGTTTTTTTAATGCAGACATCTATCTCAATCACCTCAGGATTCTATCTGAGGGCCTCAGCTGGTACTTAAGGTCCCCAGGAGTACTCAGGAAGGAAGGATGGAGGGGCTCTCCCTTGTGTGGACACTTGATTTGCAGCCTCTCAAGGCTGGTCTGCACCTGGGTCCCCTTAGGCCACACTCCACAGCCACCTGCCAGGCCTCTGAGTGGTCTGAGAGGACTCCTCTCCCTGGACCTTCAGACAGCTCTACAATGGTGGGGGAGGGATGGCCAGGGTGGACTGTGGAGATGGGGGCGCACCAGAATAGTTGCCCTCAGCGCTGGGGCAGTCAGGGTGTGTGTGACGTGGGGAGGGCTGAAGCACCCCTTTGTTTTAGAGAGGGGACGGGAGGGATGATCTGTCCTGGTCCAATTTTTCCACTCTGTGGGCGCTGGTGGCCCCAGGAATCCCATTTGCATCAGGGCCCAGGCTTCTAGGAAGTTAAGAGAAAGGAATTTATTTTAACTTGCAAATTTGTTCTGGTAATTTAAGTCATATTTATGCATTGTCAAAAAGGCAAAGAATTGTATATGTTTAAAAATGAACAAAAACTCAAAAGACAATCCTTGCCCATGATTCTGCTGCTGCTCTCTGACATGGGCTGCCAGTTGGCACGTTATCTGTGAGTATCTCACAGCTGCGTGCCTTCGACAGCCAGGGTGGATCATAATTCAAGCAATAACTGTTACTGCAGAAAAATCAGAAAATACAGTCAAAACAAATTTCACATAATCCTACTATCTAAAGATAATCTTGCTTTCGTACCTTGTGTTTCTTTGACTACTGATACATTTGAACATTTTGCCATGTTTATTGGCTGTTGAGATTTCCTTAGTGAAGCCAGATGTGGTGGGCACGCCTGTAATCCCAGTGGCTCAGGAAGCTGAGGCAGGAGGATCACAAGTTCAAGACCAGCCTCAGAAATTTAGTGAGGCCCTAAGCAATTTAGTAAGACTTTGTCTCTAATGAAGATAAAAAGGAATGGGGATATGGCTCAGCAGTTATGTGCCCCTGAAACAAAAAGAAGAAAAAGGGAAAAAAGTGTTTTTTCTTGGTGAATAGGTTGTTTCTGTCCTTTGCATATAGTTTTTGGGCATCCAATGGGGCCATCAATTTGTTTGGGATCTTGTATAGCATACATATGAATCTTTATACTACCTATAGTTTTTTTTGTTTTTTTTTTCTCGATTTGTGATTTGTTGTTAAAACTTTGAGAGTGTTTGTTTGTTTGTTTGTTTTGGTACCAGGGATTGAACCCAGGGGCACTCAACCACCGAGCCACATCCCCAGCCTTTTTTTTTTTGAAACAGGGTCTTGCTAAATTGCTTAGGGCCTCTCTAAATTGCCGAGGCTGACTTTGAACTTGCAATCCTCCTGCCTCAGCCTCCAGAGTCACTGGGATTACAGCCACCATGCCTGGCTTTTAGTGTTTTTAATCTTGTTTTTCTCTTTTGGAGTTCTCTACTGGCTTTTGTGTTTAGAGTGTAATTCTCCTCCCCCAAATCGAATGCCTTCCTTCAGCGGTGAGCCCTGTCTCTTTCTTCCTCTTCAATCCATCTGAAAGTGGAAGTGAGAAGCTCACCCAGTGTTTTCCAGACACTTAGCCAACCATCCCAGCGCTGTTTTTATGACTCAACCCTCCTGTCCTCTGTCCCTCGGGCAGCCCTGTGCACAGGGCAGGCATTAGCCAAGGAGTCTAAACTTGCTGTTGTGCCAGAGGCCAGGCTCGCTTGGCAAAGGCCTTGAACATTCTCTGGAGCTATTGGCCCTCCCCAGTCCCTGCCCGCCCCCACCTCCGGGGGAAGCCCTGACCTTCCCCCTCAGTGCAGCCTCCCCCTGGCTATTTACCTGAGTCTCCTGGAGTCCTGCCCCTGGGCCCCACCTCGCCCACCCCACACCCAGCACCTCCCCACAGAGGCCCTCAGAGGACTGGCCCTGCTGGGCAGCCCCGCCTCTGTAAGGTGAGAACCCTCAGGGGCTCAGCAGCCAACCCTGGGGCCCAGCGCCCACACCCCCCCCACCCCCCACCCCCCCCCGGGGCTCATTAACCTGTTTCTTCCAAACAAATCCCGCTCTGTTCTAGGTGGAATTCCCATGCCATCTGCTCCCTCCATCTCTTCTGTTTCTTGAAAGTTCCAGAAGCAGGAGTCCTGGAACCAGGCGTCCTGGCCTATCAGTGCTGATACCCCCAGAAGCTGCCTGGGAGCACCCCGAGGGGCAGCCAGCCACAGTTCAGGCTCCCAGGCCCTCCCCAGGCCCCCCAGAGTGGCTTCAGTGACAGGCTGGGCGGCACTGCCCTCCCCTAGGTGACCATGGCCATGGTGGGGGCTGCCATCAGGGGCCACAGAGCCCCAGAGAGCACCAGGTAGGTCCACCTGCCCAGCAGCAGCCCCTGGAGGGGCCAGACCCTGAGGCCAGGAGCAGCAGCATCCTGGGGTGGGACCATGGGAAACAGTGCCTATGGCAGCAGGAACAGGAAGAGGCCACCCTCCCTGTGACCAGGGGTCTGCAGAAGTGAGCTCTGAGTGGCTCTGAAGGGCCTCTGGTCCCATCCGTGTGCACGTGAGTCACGAAGAGCCTCAGCAGAGCCTCAGCTTCCTCATCTATAAAACCGGGATGCGTCAGCACCACCCCTAGGGCCCCGGGAGGCTTCAGCAGGAGTGGTCATCACTGTCGAAGCTCCCTGGTTACCAGGACTTGACGGTGGGGATATTTCATAGTGTAATATATCCCAGAACACGAAGCTACACGCCTCAAACACATACAGTTTCATTTCCTTGGTAAAGATGGGGCTGGGGCCTGAGCGGTGGTGCAGGCTTGGAATCCCAGCGGCTCCAGAGGCTGAGACAGGAGGATCGTGAGTTCAAAGCCAGCCTCAGCAAAAAGCAAGGCCCTAAGCAACTCCGTGAGACCCTGTCTCTAAATAAATTACAAAATAGGACTGGGGATGTGGCTCAGTGGTCAAGTGCCCCTGAGTTAAATCCCTGTTAACCTCCCACAGCCCCAAAAAAGATGGGATTGGGGGAGAACATCTAGCCAGAAGCAGAGGGCAGTGCGAGGGGGAGTTGAACTGTGCAGACGCCTCCCCTGGCTGTGAAGCTGGCTGTGTGTCTCCATCTCCTCACCCGAAAGTGGGGAACACCCACCCGCTGTGCTCAGTGCCCCATGCTGCCCTTCATGTTACCACAGGAAGATGTCCAAGTCAGCAGGGAAGACACCCCTGCTGGGCTGTCCGAATTGTCAGATTTAGGTGAGAACTGAGTTGAGAAGCATGAAGTAGAAAACCCCCAAATGCCAACAATTTAAGCACATGTGTGATTATTTTCCTTCGCATAGAGGAGTTCTGGGTATTGGCAGTAGTTCTCTCTGGTGGCTGGTATGACAGCCCCAACCAAGGGACCCAGGTTCCTTCCACCCTTGTGCTCTACCATCTTAGTGTGTACCTTCCACCCACAGGATTACCTCAAGGATTGTGGAAGGCCAACCTTACACGTGACTGAGGTACACTCCCCGGCTGGGTGCTGAGGCTCTCAGTTGCAGAAATGTGGCACCCTTCTTGGGTTTGAGGGTCAGTGTCTCGTGCATGGGTGTGTCTTGCTATAGCCCCAGGGGTGAAGCTACACTCACCTGTTCCTTTGTAATATAACCCCTTGCCCTGTTTAGGGTAGAATCTTCCATGGAAGTGCCTTGTGTGTGTCCCTTCTCTTACTGTGCCCTTGGGTGTGGCCTACCCAGGTGTCAGTCAACCTGCTGACAGTGGACATCATGAAGATAGACTCAGCCCCCTGAAACCTGACCCCTTGCCTCATTTGAATAGCTTCTCCTCAATGAAAGGGGTCAGCACGTGCTCTCTGTCTCTCTCTTTCTGCGGACCCTTAAGGTCAGAGGAGCCCTCACAGCGACCCCAAAGAAAAAGGTATTTGTGTCTCTTGTGTGGTTATTTCGTGCAGCCCAGTCAGCCCAGTTCAACTGGAGTGACCCCTCAGCCTTTTAGTCGCGAGAACAGAAAACGCGGCAAAGGATCAATATAGCTGCTACTGCTCCAGCCTTACATTCCTAATAGCCAAAGGCATAAAAGGTGGAAGAGCCAAAGGATATTTAGCTTTTTGAAGGATCCTTTCTAAAGTACTGCCTAATTCTTTCTGCTTGCTTCTCTTTTGCCAGAATATGGTCTCATGTTCTTGCCTATCTGCAAGAGAGGTTGGGAGACCCATTCTTTTAGCTGAGCAGACAGCCACCCTGAATGAAACTGGGGTCTGACAGTAAGAACGAAGGGCAACTAGGATGGTCAACTAGCAGACTCCTCCACATTCCTTCACTTGGTTCAGCTGCCTCGCCCCCATACTCCCCAAAACTCGGGTTTGCCCATGACCTCTGAGGTGGCCTCAGGGCACCACAGGAGAATAAGTGGGTAGCAAGGGTTGAGAGGAGAAGTGGAGGAGGAGGAGAGGTGGAGCCAGCTTCAGAGGCTCAGATAGCGGAGTGTAAAGGGGATGAAGAGAACATGGAGAGGCCTCATGTTAGGGGAGGAGGAAGACGAGGGCCAGCAAAGGAGCTGGAGAGAAGCAGCATTGAAAAGTGCGTGGGAAGGGAGGGGGGGAGGAAAGTTGAGCTACTGAGGGCAAAACCCTGAGCGGCACCAGCTGTCACCCAGAGGTGCCCAGAGCAGCTGTGGTAGCACTCTGCTCCCAGCACCCAGCTTCCTTACCCTGCCAGTCACTCAGTGCTTCTGACAGCCCTCCTGGATACCAGAGGGGCCGGAAAGCTTGCATGAGCTAAAGTCAGGCGGAGTTCAAATCCCAGATTTAGTGCTTATTCATGTGACTTTGAATAAGTTGCCTCTTCCCTCTGAGGCTCAGCTGCCCCAGCAATAAGTGGGTATAAGAACAGAGCTGCACTGCTTAGAGACCGTGGGGTCACGGGGCTTGGCTCTTCTCTGGTCCATGATAAGCAGGCACCAAGTGTTACTGACAACCCCAGAGTCACAGACACAGAAGAATGAAACTTTCCAGCCCAACCTTTTTATTAAAGGGACAAGCACAAGAAGTTCATCAGGGTCTCAGGAACACCCTGGGGGTGCAGATCTTTGTGGTTGTGTGCACCCCAAGTCAGGAGAGCAGGAAGAAGATGAAGTTTGTCTATCCTGTGTCCAAAGGGTTAATTCCACAGCCAGGGACAGTCAGAACCAGGAGCTGACCAGGTTCTGGCCTTGACTTATTCCTGCCCACTGCTGCTGGAAAACAAATGCCCTGCAGAAGGACTGGCCATATCCAGTCCTGTGGCACCAGAGTGGGCAAAGAGGTTCTGGGAGGGGTCCCTGATGAACTCTAACTTGGCATCTGTACCCTCTTCTCATTTGCCACAGTCACAGGCATTATGACTCCTTTCGACCCTGTGGCAGCACCTGCACTTGCATACACACCTCCATCCTACAAACTTGGCTGCAAGTCAGTCATAGCCTCAGTTCAGTAAGGCAGCCACTGGGGAGGCTTGCTGTACATGTGCCTGTGACATCACCAGCCACCCACACCCCCCTGTGACTTCAGCACCCGGACATCTTAGCCCAGCAGAGTCATGGCCACTCCCACTGCAAGTGGCAGAGGGCATAAATGACCCTCAGAAGAGACCAAAGCCACCAGCAGCCCCCCATATGCTCCTTCTGAGGCCTTTCTGGGCAACGAGGCTGACCACAGCCCTGCAGATGATCCGACAGGAGGGTCCCAAAGTCAGGCCCCCCTCCCTGCAGATGTCTCACCAGAGAGCAGCGCTGCAGAGGCCACTGAACTCCAAGATGTAGATCAGGCCACCTCTGAGGCCAAGCCAACCTCTGGGGACCAAGACAAGAATGAAGTCGCTCCTGGCAGCAGCCAGAAGCCTGCAGAGATCACACCTCTGGTGCCCCAGGACCCAGGTGCCCAGCCGGTGTTGGTGGGCAGTCAGAACCTGCTACCGGTCAGGCTAGCTGGGGATAAACTGATCCCTCAGGATGGCGTGGGCCTGCTCCGTGACTCCCAGGCTCAGAAGGGAACACCACCGCAGGCGAGGGACCCCAAGAAGCAGCTGATCTTTGCTTTACCTGCAGTAGAAGTCCCGCCCTTTGTGGGTGCTGCTGACCCAGCCACTGCAGGCGCCGGTGGTCAGCTTGACCCTCCGCCCACTGGCGTCACCCAGGCTGCTGAAGAGAAAACCAAGGGGTCCCAGATGGTGACAGGGGACGACCTGGTGGACGGTTCCCCAGAACACTGGGTTCAGTCCTTCCCTCCCTTCGCAGCCTGCAATGCCCCGCCCTCAGCCTTGCCCAGCCCCCACCGGGAGGTCCCGGGGAGGAGGCCGCTGGACTCCGACCTGTACATGGCGGATGAGGACAACGGCTACATGCGCTCCATGACCAGCCTGCTGGGCGGGGGTGAGGGCTCCATTGGCTCCCTGGCCAACATCCTGGTGTGGTCCGAGCCCATGGGCATGACCATGGCCATGGCCTTCCTGACCTCCAGCCACGGCTCCCCGACGGAACTGCTGCCCAACACCGGATCCAACCTGCACTCGGTCTCCAGCATCCTGGGGAACGCCAGCTCGGCCTTCTCCTCCGGGCTGGCCACAGGGACCAGCTCGGCCCTGCGCTCGGTCACCCAGGTGCTGGAGACCGTGGGGCGGAGAACTACGAGAGCATCCGCTCGGCCGTGCGCTTCCTGACCAGTCACCTCGCCCTGCGCCGGTTCCATGCCAGCCCCAGCTGAGACTAGATCCCACACGGAAACCCCAAGGACTTGCCCAGCAGCTCTGGAGACCCTGGATTCTCACCCCGATTCCTGCCCACCCCCACCCGGGGTGGCTCCCCAGCAGATCAATAAATCACCACCAGCGTTTATTTTCTAAGCGCCAGCCTCGTCCCTTGTCCGAGCAGTGGGAGCGCCTGCCTGGCATGCAGAGGTCCTGGGGTCCACCCCAGCACCAGGTTGACAGGAGTAAACATCAAGGATGAATAAACAACATGAATCAGCAAAAGGACTTGTTTTGGACTTGTTTTGGACTTTGCAGTGACTAAGTGACTTTTTAGTTGTAAACATGTTTTTGGTTATAGGATGACTAGATAGTATGCCCATGTTAGATAAGTTGATGATGTAACTAGGTAGTGTGCTTATGTTAGATAAGTTAGACATAAACAAGTTTGTTGTAAACATATAGAGTATATAAGCGCGAGGGAAACTCCATGTATTTGCTCACAATCAACTCTCATCGCCTGAGAGTAAGATCGTGCAGTGTGAGCCAGCCACCTCGTGTATTGCTTTGTGTGGTGTGCGAATAAACCAGCATTTCAAAAGGCAATCGAGTTCGTGCTTGGTGTTCGCGTACGTCGCGGTCCGGGGTCCAGTGCAGATATCCGGAAGGGAACTCCTGGTAACCAGACAAGGCTGAGAAGCTGCTCGTGACACAGGTGGGGGAGGACAAGAGGGGCTCCGGGTGTCTTGCAAACAGAATGTCCTCAGGTTGTCCCATTCAGGGCCTAGGGACAAATGGAGTGGCTCTGAGAGGCCCCCGGAGGGAGGTGGAGGGTGCTGAGTCACCAGTGCGGATTCAGACCCCTGGGCTTCCGGGCCTCCCTCTCCTGAGCTGTAATGGAGACAGTAAGCCCCCACCCCGAGATACTAGAAGGCCTCAGCAACAGAGAGCCCTTGCTAAGCTCACACCTTACAGCTGTCATCATTATTTGCCAAGTGGGCAGGTGATAGGGTGGGACAGGGTCCAGGCAGGGTGACAAGCTGTCCTTGTCGTGCTTGGCTTCAGACTAAGGGGATTTCTGGCATGGGGGCTTTCAGTTTTGAAGCTGGCAAGCCAGGATAGCTGCCCCCTTAGGTGCAGGTCTCTTTCCTTGGAGTGTGCTCTGGTCTGCATCTGAGAAGCTTTGGCAAGGAGGAGGAGGAGTGCAGGCCTGGGGGCCCAGCTAATGCTCAGAAAGTGAGCTAATGCTCACCCAGTGCTGCTTCCAGAGGTGAGAGGTGGTGCATAAACTCCAGCAGGATATTGGCCTGACCTGTCACATCCTCCTGCCACAGCCTGGACTGCTGTTCTTCCCAGCAGTCTCCTGATAAGGGCCCTGGGGGGAAGTCAGCCCACTGACGCATTTGTTGGACTTACATAGTGTTTCTCAAAGTGCAAACTAATGAATTAATTGCTAGAGTTTTAAAAAGGAGATTTTACATAAAAATATGGATTTCTGCCTCTTTGGAAAAATCTAGGGCCCTCTGTTTTGGTTTGGATGTGAGATGTCCCCCAAAAGCTCATATGTGAGCAATGCAAGGTTTAAAGGAGAAATGATTGGGTTATGAGAGTCTTAACCAATCAACAAATTAATCATTGAATTAATCCCTGATAGGATTAACTGGGGGAAACTGAAGGAGGGTAGGATGTAGCTGGAGGAGGTGGGCATTGGGGGCATGGCACCCTTCTGCCACGATGTTCTGCCTCACCTCAAGTCTCGAGGGATGGAGTCAGCTATCTATGGACTGAGACCTCTGAATTCATTAGCCAACTTTTCCTTCCCCACAATTGTTCTTGTCAGGTTACAGTCACAGCAACCAAAAAAAAGTTGACTAAAACACCCCCATTTCTTCAGGATCACAGGCAGCTAAACTACCTAAACCACCACTTTAGGGAGAGTGGTGGTCACTGTCACCACAGCCCACCTGGCCTTGGAGTGACAGATGTCTCAGCCTGACCCCCGGGAGCATGTGTAGGCCACACCTGTTTTGCAGATGGCTCATGAGAGGAAGTCGGACTCTTAAGCCCAAAAGGGATGTAAAGACAGACTAGACATGTGTACCCCTAGTCCCCAGGGGCTGCCACCTTCTTGAGGTGCAGCATGAACTGTCCCCAGTTCCCATGTCATGAAAGCAAAGAATTCAGAGGAGTGAGGTTGTCAACTTAGATCCCAGTAATGGGGGGGGGGGTCCTCTTAGAGAAGCAACTGAGTCAGACCTTAAGAGCAAGGGGAGAGGGTACTCCCCAGACAGACACGGTAAGAACAAGGCACCCCCAAAATACGCTCATCCAAGCTTTCAACAAATGGTATTGAACACCCACTGTGGACCAGGCCCTGCTATACCCCCAAAGGTGACCTGAGCTTTGCAAGGGACAGAACAAACTCAAACCAGCATAAGGAAAGGATTGGTGGCTGGCACTGCTGCCGGTGTGGGCGAGGCGGGCTCCCGGCTCAGCGGGTTCTCTGGGCTGTCTTTCCAGCTGCCCCACTGCTGGCTCTCTCCATTCTTAGCTCCACCTTCTGGAGAAGTGGAACCGTCCACTGGCCTTGGCAGGTGAGTCCCAGGGAAGCACACTGGTTCAGTACCCATGTCCTGCCCTGGACAGGTTATGCAGGCCACAGGACTGAAGTACCAGTCACCCACCAGTCACCTGGCTCAGGTCAAAGCCTAGAAATGGAGGTTCATCTCAGGAGGGGGCAGCTGGAGCCAGCCGGTGAGTGATGAGGAAGGGGCGTGCCCTTTGGGTCCAGGCCACCTTGAATGCTGGGCACCCTGCCTGCCAGCTGTGTTTCCTTCTCCTCTCCTGCCTCAGTTTCTTCACCTGTAAACAGACGGTGACAGTGTTGTCAGGGGTTGGACTGCCGTGAGGACTGCAGGGCTTCATGAGTCAGTGCCTAGGACAGTGCCGGCAAGTGGCGGAGTGTACACGACATCATGCTGACCACTGGTGCAGAGCCCGACATGGAATCAGGTGCCCAGAACGTGGCTCTACCATGAGGAGTGGAGGTGGGGGAGGGGCAGCTATGTGCGGGCTCTCACTGAGGTGGGCCTTCGCTGTTAGAGGAGGACCAAGGCCTGGAGCACAGCAGCTCAGTGATGGTGGCTGGCAGCAGGGGTGACAGGGCCAGGGCTCCCCTGTGGAGAGATGGCCCAGGCCCAGAAAAGTCAAGGCTGGCAGTGAGGGGTGTAAAAGGTGACAGAGCAAAGGGAAAGGAGACATCGCAGGTGACCAGTTGGGTTGGGTCAGGACAGTCACGATTCCCTGGTGGCCTGAGCCTTGCAGTCACGGGATGACACGCGGGTCACTGCCAGGTGTGGAACACCAGGAGAAGGGCCAGTGGAAGCCGGGGGACGGGCCAGATGGCACTGAGGTGAATCTGGCCCATGGACCACCTGTGGCTGTTGTTTTTGTTTTGTGTGGGTCCTGAGGATTGAGCCCAGGGGTGAATCACCCCTGAGCCACATCGCCAGCCCCATTTTTTAAATTTTATTTGAGTTGGAGTCTCTCTAAGTTGCCCAGGCTGACCAGGAACTTGTGAGCTTCCTACCTCAGCATCCCAAGTGCCTGAGGGGACAGGTGAGCACGGCCACGCGGGCATCTGTTGGTCCTTGATATGAAAATCAAGAAGCCAGCCCACCTTTCCATCTTCACTGGCTGGTGTTGACTCTTGGAGGTCCTGGCTACTCAGTAAGGACACAGCCCGTGACCAGCACAGGGGCAAGTTGGGGCAGGAACCCCCCCACCATTGACTGACTTAGGTGCTGCCCTGCAGGCCAGCCACCCGCTGTCAGCTCTGGGCTCTCCCTGCCTCCTCCTCCTCCTGCTCTTGCTATGGGGTAAACAGTTGTGCTGGCAAACCCCAGGAAGCACATGATCCCCAGGGGTGGGCCCCAGGCAGCACATGCTCCCCAGGGGTGGGCCCCAGGCATCCAGGTGCCAGACACCCTGGAGAACTCAGGCTGCACACTCAGGGCTGCAGGCTCCAACGTGGAGAGAACCTGATGCCCCGAGCCCAGTATAAGTTGGCCCAGGGATAAATGAGAATGAACAGGAAACCCCAAGACAGGAGCTTGGGGACAAGCTCCAACCACAGGCAAGAGAAGAGGAGGCGGTTCAAAAAACACAGGAGCAGTGGGCAAGGGGGAGTGATCCCGCCCATCATGGGACAGGCATGCAGCAGCGTGGGGCACTGGCTCCGGGATTATTTGGAGCTGAGGGCAAAGGAGGAAAAGCACACTGGGGACAGCTTTCTACTCTCCCCTTCTCTGAAGAGAAGGTATAAATTTCCCTGTGACAGTTCCTCCTTTTCCAAACCAGGAAGAGGAGAGCAACCTCTCACTATAGACAGATGGTTGAGAGGAATCTACACAAACAAGCCTAACAGCGGCCCCTCTACCGTGCCCCCACATATTTACCCTCCCACAATTTACCGTGCCCCCAAAAGCCCAGAAACGCCTTTCCTTTGTCTTATCAACTCTCCACAAATTTATCGTCCTTTGTTAGAATGGTATAAAAGCCATCAAACCTTGCCACTGCTTTGGGAAATTTCTTTCTATGAAGCCCCACACACCATGGGAAACTTTTAGTATCTAATAAAATAACATACAAACGTTTTAACATACAAAATAAAGTCTGCTGTCCATCTGTCTTTTGTCAGTTTAATTTACAGCCCCAGTAATAACCTAAGAGGATGAAGGACTTTTTTTGAACCCCCAAAGCCTCCCTGTGGTTCATGATATTAGATGCATGAACACTGAATAAGGGGGCACATGGCTGGGGAGAGGCAGTTAACAGAGACAGAAGAAAGGGACAGTGGTAACAGTGGTGACGATAACGGGGTGGCCCTGGGAAGGTGTGGAGAACTGGAGGCAGGACAGAGTTAAAACTCAGCCCTGAGAGGCCAGCCAGCTTCTTAGGAAGCCAGGGAGCTTCTCATTTACATGTTAGGTGTGACACCTGACAACAGGCGGTGTTTCTCTGGGATGGACTTTTGGATTATGTTCTGCCAGGAAAGACTGGCAAGTAAACAGGAGAACTGCTGAAATGGCCATTTAGGCTGGGCCAAGAGTCAACAGGACAGGCCCAGTATCCTACCATCTGACCAGCAGGAGCTTGGCTAGGGAAGTCATCCGCAAGTCCGAGCAGTGGTCAAAAGGGACGCCAGCCCAGGTTTGGTGGACGATATGTTTGGCCCATTCCTCCCCCTTCAGTAAAGGACTTGTTCCCGCAGGTGCCAGAGCACTGGAAGTGGACAACCTGCAGCAGCAGCCCCTTCAGAGAGCTACCATGATGTCCCTGAGGCTGGCTGGGGCTGGCATCGCAGCCTCGACTTCTCCCTCTGTCCGTTTGGCTTCTTCTCTCCTCACTGGGCATGATCCCAAAGAAACATCCTGGACACTAAACCCTGACTCAGAGCCCACACCCTGGGGGCCCACACCATGGCCACGGCTGCTAACCCTTCCCATCTGAGTGTGTGTGCCGGTGTGAGAGAGAGGAAGGCAGAGAGACTCATAGTCAAATGATGGAGAAGATTTAAATATTGTTTTTAAAAAGAATATCTGTTT